TGTGAAAATTCTCGATTTTATTTTTTACATTTTTAACTTTATAATGCTATGACATATTGAAAAGTGTATGGATCAACATTATTTTTTTATGAGAAATAATATTTTTTAATAATCCCTTTTTCATTCGACATACTTTATCTTAATTAGGATATTAATAATGAACTAGCAGATCATGTAGCTTTTGGAATAATCCACCAATTTTTTAAAATTAAACACTATCTAAAGATTTGCATCGAAGCGTTTTTTTTTTATAGTGATTTTAATCACTGTCAGATATCATTATACTTGATCCATCTATGCCACGTCACCACTGTGCCGCGACCCCCCTGTGCTGGGTTTTTATTAATATAGTCAAGCATAACATAAAAAAATATTTGTTTTGTTTACATCATATCATCAGTCAATTATTTTGGGTATAGTAATTTAAATGTATTACATTATTGTTATACAATTTTTACTACTGCTATCGTCACGGCATTGGAGAATCTAAGATTTTTTTACGGCGGATTTAAGTTTGTAACCTTTGTTAAAAACATTGTTATGAAAATAACAATTTGTAACAGTAATTTAAAATCCCAGGAATTTCTTCAGCGTAACCCCAAATCAGCCGTTCTAGGTTCATAGATAAAAAAACCTTCTAAATTTTTAAGTTATTACTATAGTATAATTAAGTATTTAACTGAAACAAGTAAATAAGCGTTTGTTAGAGAAAATATAATTCAATAAGTACTAGTAAGTGTTAATAATTATGTAATTTTATTGTATGGTAAATATTAAGCTTAATGAAAAATATCCATTAAAAAATTCACTAATTGAATAGCTTTTGCTCTATAGGGAAATCAGCAATATTATTAGGGTAAATGATATGCATGACACGCACATAGTAAATAGGATAGTTGGAATGGAAAGAGAAAGTTCAACGTTGTCGAATAAAGCATTTAAACACATTATATAAGGTGTGTTTAAATGAAAAGTTGGCATTCAAGTTTTGAATTACAGAAATGAGTACCTAATTATGATTTTTTATAAATATATAGAACAACCATCTAAAGTTTCTTGGTTTTGTCATTTTTAAATTATAACCATTTTCCAACAAATAATGTATATAAATATAATAATCAAGTTAAATATTAAGATTTTTTTCGATTATAATTTAGATAACTAAGCTCAAATATATTAATATTTGTCATGATTTAGGATGTGTACCAAGTGAATTGGAGTTGAAAGAATTCGCAAAAGAGGTTGTAAATCCAAAATATCCAAAAATTATTAAAATTAATGTTTTTATGCGACATATGGAAATGCAGGTTCGAGCATTCAGGTAAATTGTGTTTGCTCTATTACATTTAAAATATAATAAATTGCAAGTGTTTGTATAAGTAAAAAGTGTAGATTGTCAGATATTGATTGTGTTTGTTTAACAGTAAAAGTATAATAATTCATCACGACTTAGGTATAGACCGGGTACGGCCATTGAACTTCTTCAAGCGTTTCAGTTATTGGACATGGACCGGAAAGGTTCACTTTCCATCGAAGAAATTGAAACTGCTTTAAAAGGCGGCGAATCGTTCGATGATGACGAAATAGCCTATGCTATCAAATCATCCTACGATCCTGATAATGAGTGTATATATTATGACACGTGGATCAACAAGTTACTGGTAATCAACTGAAAAGTTCCGCATTACTCGCAAACACTTTACTTATCTTTGATTAATACGTGTTCCGGTGTATAATTTAAGAAAGCTTTAAATTGACAATTCTGTTTGAAAAAGCCGGACAAAATCATTTGTTTATTTTTTTACGTAAATGAGATTTTTAACAACGAAATGAATGTCAGTATAGTATAATTTAATTTGTAAGAGTGATAAATGCGACAAATAAACTTGTTTTGCAGGGGGAAATGTACCACGCTTTGCTTTCTAACAATAATTATCACGAGAAATGCGATAAACGAGCGTTCAAGAGAAAAACTCCATTAAAACACGCAAACCCCTGTGACTGGGCTTCAAAAAAACACTGTTGCGTCTTAATCCTTGTCGCGACCTGACCGTGGCGCAACCAAAAATAAAAAAAAAAACAACATTCGACTCTTGCCATAAATTTTTTAGCTTTATTTCTCTTTTACTATTATTCACCCTGAGTAATTTGTGGAATGTTTTTATTTTCAAAAGTCCAGCAGTAGTCGGATGTTGGTCATTTGAACGTTATGTCCAACGGACATAACATTATGTCGTTGACCTTACGGGTACAATCGATTAAAATGGAGATGCCATGGTGAACATTTTTGCCGTTATTTCATATTATATAATGTAATGTATTTACTTGACAGGGCAAAACTAAAACGGACATATACGCATTAATACCAGTTGACAAATTAGACGAAAAGGATGCAGTATTAAAACAACTTTTGGGTCAAAATCAAAATAAATTGTGAACTAATCATATTCAACCGATAGATATTATAGAATTTAGTGTTAAAAATAAGAATAAATTAATTAATTTAATATTCTACGAATTATTAAAAATATATGTTTTTCATTCTACCTAAGCATAAACCAGGCGATTGAAACATATACTGTTAAATAATAGAATGTCTTTGTAAAACCAAAATAATTACTTGTGAATAAAATTCAATGAAATGCTTAACGGCTAATGCTATTTAAAATACACAACTGTTAGAATTGAATGAATAATTTTGCAATACCCTAGACTTCTTGAAGTACTGAAACTTTAAAACGTTTCTATTTAAGAATGTGTTGTTTATTTCTCGAAAACTTACAATATTTACTTTGCCTAAAATGGTCAAGTTATTCGCTGTGATACATAAAATTCTTGAAGACAGCAATTACCTAGTTTTGGAGCTATTGTCATTTATATTTTGATTTATTTTAAAATCTGGTCCAACGAAAGAGATAATATCTTATCATTATATTTACATCAAATTCACATTTCTATGATTTATACTTGATATATACGTTGTTAAGTAATTACTTTTGAAATCTTTAATATTAGTTTTGTATTTATGAATTTTTTTATTATATAAAATAAACATTTTTCACGTGTCGTAATCATCAATTTACTTGATAACTATCAAATAATAGCAGTGGTGGTTGGCAAGCAAAAAAATACTGTTTCTACTTTAAAACTAACATGAAACCAATATTTTTAATATAATACCCATGGAGAATGTATTAAAAACTTGGAGCTATTTTTTACCTCCTCTTTCACGTTTTTCGCTTGATATCAGCTGCCCGGACATGACTATGTTTTATTTATTGTTTTTTTTAACTTATTTATTAGGTTATTTTTCACCATAAAACTATCTATAAATTTTGACAAAATACAATTAAAATTTCAATTATTTTTCAATGAAAAAATAAATTAATGTACTCACATATCTAATATAAAGAAGTAAATAAAAATCTTGGGGACCATGTTCGTCAAAAAATTGTAGCTGCTGGTAAATCGTTTTCAAATAAAATAAAATAATCAAGCATGATAAAAATAACTGAGATAACATTTTTATTTAAGAATTAGAAGTATTTTTAAAATGTCGACCATGGTACTATTTGTAGTATTCTACTATTATAACGATATTTACAACACGAGCCAATGAAAGTAAATTTTAATCCTTTGGGGATATAAAGAGGTTTTATTTATTAATATTTTCACTGAATGTTTTGCTGAGAGGTAAAAGAAAATGTATTTACATTATGTACTTTATATTGTTTTTAAAAACTCATTTATCCACATCAAAATAGCCTTAATTGTAGTTTAATTAACGAAAAAAAAATTGTTTTATAATTTGACACATAATTTAAAAATAAATGCGTGTTCATTTCGTCATGTTCAATTTTAATAAGTAAAACAATTAATAAAAACGATCTCTTAGCATTAACTTGTATTCATTATGAATTATCTATTGGGATTAAATGAATAAAGAAATATAGAAATTTGAGTCTAAAAATTCAAAGAAACCAATGAAATATATCATCAATGCTTAATTGGAATGTGATATTTGAGTAAAATCCTAATGAGAAATACTACGAGAAATGGGAAAAGGATTACTTTGAGGTTCCTTTTTATATAATATGGATTAGTGAATAATTATTTTGATAAATGAATTACTTCAATTTATCTTATTCGTAATGATTTAGTGGAGTAATACATTCAAATAGTTTAAACAATATACTACTAACTAGATATACATACAATAATCATTGTGAATAATTAATCAAAGAGAGTTTGATGTCTTATGTCCTATTTATGACTTCTCGTATACTCCTAAGTTTACACATATTTTAGTATAATATGACATACTATACCTTTACATATATTATTATGTTTAAAGGGATTGGCAATAGGTGGCCCGAGGTCCAAATCTTGCCCTTAAAGAGTAATAAAATTGAGCCGTCAAAAATATTTAATACCAGTTTTTAACATTTTGTATTTTCATTATTATCTCCGTATATACAAAGAAACTTGTCTCATTTTCCGCTTGTAAGTGTACTTGATTTACTTATCGAATATCGGAGAATACCAAATTCTAATAAACTGGCATATTTTTATGTATTGAGAATATATTTGTTATTTTATTTTTGTTTGTTTTTGGAAATAGTTTTTTTTAATCATCTGTTTTACAAATTAATTGCCTACCCCTATATTTTAAAAATAAAAATGAAGAGTTAATTTAACCAATTATAAATATTGTTTCGCATAGGATTATCTGTTATACTTATGGGCATCAAATAAAATACTAAGCGATATAATATCAATTTAAAAAATAATTGCAATAATTAAGAAAAATAATGTAAATATATGATATGACATGGTCATATGTATGTATTACACATTTTTTTTACCTTAATAAATTATAATATCGCATATTTTAAAGTAAGTAAATTTTAATGAGAAGCTCTAACAGTTGTATGTTCGAGAATCAATATATGCGTTTGTTAGAATTTAGTAAAATGCACTCACGTTCTTATATTAAAATATCAAAAAAAGCATATTATGCTTTTGTTGACATGTATATTTATTTATAGAAACATATATATTTGTTCGAACACATAATATTCGAAGGTTATTATTCTCTTGTCTCATATTATTATACTTATCTTAATTATAGATTTAATTATAGATATGGTATATTCAAATCGCGCTGAAAACAGGATGAAATAATATCTTAATATATTTTATTTAAAAATTTCTATAAATACTTATGTAATTATTAGGTTTTGCCTAGCTTAGACTAGCTGTTGCTTGCTTCATTAAGGTAGTACAGATAGCCGGGTGGAGTATTCGGAAAAAATTGTTTTGGAGACAAAGTACTTTATAAAAGTGAATGGATTATTATAAATTTACATATCAATTCAAAACGGTCTTTAATTTGATACGCGTAAAAAATATCAAACTACCAAATAAAATACACGAGTTTGTAATCATAAAAATGCAAAAATTTTAAGAAGTTATAGAAGTGCAAAAAAAAACAAAAATGTTATGAAGCTAAAACATGCAAACAATAAGAAAAACAAAAATATTATGAAGCCAATGAAATGAAAACAAAAAAAATACATTGTGAGATCAAAGAAATGTATAATCATATGAAACCATAAAAATGCGAAAAACAAAAATATGGCGAAGCCAAAGAAATGTAAAACATCATAAAGCAATAAAAATGAGTAAAACAAAAATATGAAACCATAAAAGTATGAATTTAAGAAGCCATAGAAGTGCAAAAACTAAAAATACTACGAAGCTATAGACATGAAGAATTATTATGAAGCCATAAAATTAGGTAAACGTTAAGTAATAATAGAAATGCAAAACATTAAGAAGCCATAGAAATGCTGAATATCAATATATTGTTTTGAATTATATAATTATGTAATAATTTAGTATATACACATTTTTTTTAGAAAACGTATTTTATGAAGTAAAACTATACGGTTACTACATGCAAGTTAATAATTCTAATAAATTATACAAAGCAATGTGTTATACGGTATTATAGTTGTTTTACACTGAGTAATTTATTTCTTTGGATATATTCAACAAGTTATTTTTATTTAATGCGTGCTTAATGTTTATTTTTAACATAAAGTAATATTAAAATTAAAATCAGGTACCTAATCACAAGCGTTAAAATAAAAAATAAGATTTATTTTTATATAAAAATGCATGTGATATATTTCTGTGAGAAGTTGTAAATTTAAACATAGTAAAATAATTGGAATCTGACCAAAATTATGACATTTAAGAATTAAGAATATAAACTGCGGCTAAACTTTGGAATTTTGATTAGGTGACATAAAACGTTTTAGCGTTTTAATGTTGAAATATTTATGGTAAAATTAAAATAAGGTTGATGTTGAATAATAAGTGTTTACTGTATTTTAAAATTACTCAACCAATAATAATATTATTATTGATTAATTTGTTTAAAGTAAGGTTACAGCGTATTTCACTTGGTTAAATTCTGTACACAGCTATATGTATAATATAGGTATACATAAATATATACCTATATTTTGAATTACACAATGATTATGCTCCATTGGTATGTTTTTTATTACTACTTTAGAAGTAGATGTAAGGTTTAATAAATATATAAATAAAGTAATTTACCAGGGGTCTTAAAAGTTTTTAGGATTTTGCCGCTGTAGATAATTGCAGCAACATAATTTCGTTCTCAACACTAAGCTTCCCTCCCCTATTATCCTTACAGATTTACATTTTATGTAAAAATATCACCAAAAGCTACAAAACAAATTATTTTGGTATTAATCTCTTTATGATAACTCTCCCGTTCAAAAATCGTTAGTTCAAAACTGATTCCAGTTTGATGTTATTTATGCTCAAATATTTTATAAAATTCAATTTATATTGTTATCAAATTTAAAATATTAATAAATAGGTAAGTTCAAATTATCTTAATTTATTGTACACAATAAAAGTTTCAATTTTATTCAGCAATTATGACTCAATTTTATAAACTTTGTTTTAGAAATAGAGAGTAAAAAAATATTATAAAAATAGATGATTAAAATATTGCACGAAAGTGTAATAACATTTGAACATTTTTTAGTATATAATTTTGATAAATGATAATGTTAAATAAATTATGAATGGCACGTATCAGTTTAAATACTTCAGGTATAATAAGACAAATCATAACTCAAAAGTGTTTCGATTACATAAAAAATCCGAAGCACACAAGGTCTGTTAAATTTATATTGCCGAAAGAAAAATAATAGATAATTATTTTACAAAATTACGTGTGTGAACTACAGCTCATTGGTTAGTGCTAATTAATTTTTGTGGGGGAAAAATGATCCCGAAGAAAACTTGTAACCTCACTTTGTATGATACGCTGGATACATACTAAATGGATTCGTTAATAACAACGAAACTTGCCAGGTGTAATTTATCATTGTCAAAACTTTGACTTGGTTAAAAAATTATCTATTATGTTTTCGATTAAATACTTGATTCATTTAAAAGCGGATTTGAAAATAAACTAAATTTTTAGAATTTAAATTCTTTGACTAATATAAGTAATTTTAATTAAATTTTATTTCGTATTATTTTCGGCACTTGGATTTAAATTCCTTTTGATACAATTGAATATTTCAAAAATTGTAG